TTCAAGAAAGGGAGGAAAGTGGATCCGGCTAACTATAGGCCCATCAGCCTGACTTCTATCCCGGGGAAGATCTTAGAAAAGTTTATTAAAGAGGCCATCCTTAATGGACTGGCCGACGCCAACATCTTAAGGGATAGCCAGCACGGGTTTGTTGCGGGTAGGTCTTGCTTGACCAATCTCATTTCCTTCTACGACCAGGTGACCTATCACCTGGACAAGGGAGAAGAGATTGATGTCATATATCTTGACTTCAAAAAAGCCTTCGATCTGGTGTCCCATGATCGCCTCTGGGAGAAACTGATGAGAATCTGATGGTGTTCAATGCCGATAAATGCAAGGTTCTCCACCTTGGGAAGAAAAACCCTCAGCATCCTTATAGGCTCAGCAGTGCTATGTTGGCTAGCACTATGGAAGAAAGAGACTTGGGGGTCATCATTGACCACGAGATGAACATGAGCCTGCAATGCGATGCGGCGGCTAGTAAAGCGACCAAAACGCTGGCTTGTATCCATAGATGCTTCTCAAGCAAATCCCGGGACGTCATTCTCCCCCTGTACTCGGCCTTAGTGAGGCCGCAGCTGGAGTACTGTGTCCAGTTTTGGGCTCCACAATTCAAAAAGGATGTGGAGAAGCTTGAGAGAGTCCAGAGAAGAGCCACGCGCATGATCAGAGGTCAGGGAAGCAGACCCTACGATGACAGGCTGAGAGCCCTGGGGCTCTTTAGCCTGGAAAAGCGCAGGCTCAGGGGTGATCTGATGGCCACCTACAAGTTTATCAGGGGTGACCACCAGTATCTGGGGGAATGTTTGTTCACCAGAGCGCCCCAAGGGATGATGAGGTCGAATGGTCACAAACTACTTCAAGATCGTTTCGGGCTGGACATAAGGAAGAATTTCTTTACTGTCCGAGCCCCCAAGGTCTGGAACAGCCTGCCACCGGAGGTGGTTCAAGCGCCTTCATTGAACACCTTCAAGACGAAACTGGATGCTTATCTTGCTGGGATCCTATGACCCCAGCTGACTTCCTGCCCTTTGGGCGGGGGGCTGGACTCGATGATCTTCCGAGGTCCCTTCCAGCCCTGATGTCTATGAAATCTATGAAATCTCTTGCTATGCACTGAAACATAGGATTAAGTAGTAGGAGGGATGTGTGGTATGGCTCCTTTTAATTTTGCCTCTTTACACATCAGAAGTTCAGCTCACCTCAGATTAATAAAAACAAAGAAAGCAGTGCCACTTAAGTTCTCCAAAAATAGGGACTTGGCTTTAAATATCATCATTTACATCAGTCAGAGGAATAATCACATAAATAAGAATTTATGAATAATTAATTCATGCTGCTATCACATTAGCACTGTACTATTTTTAATTTATGGGGGCCATGATTGTGTCATTATTAACTTGAGACGGGGAAAGTACAGCAATTATGGAGCTGATTGATTGATAAATCATTTTATAAGAATACAGAGATTGATTCATGAAGAATTTCACATGCACACAGAGGTCTTACTGCAATGTGCTCAGATAACAACAACAAAAAATCATCTGTTGGAAAGGATGACCTTAATCATAATAAAAAGATAAATGCCAGACAAATTTAAACAAAGGTTGCTAATGCTATTTTAACCAGAGACGAATTATTTCTTCTTTTCACAAGAGATGGGATGCAATCCAAATTCTGCTGCAGCTGCCATAATCTGCTGAACACTTAAAATTCAATAGCAAGAAAAGAGCTTGGCTGAAGTGCTTTAGTAATGATACTTCTCTGTGAAGAGCAATTGAAACTTTCAAAGCACTCAAAATGTGCCCATCTCCAAGTTCACAGTGCTCCTGTGAAAATGCAGCACATCCTTTTGAAAGTTTCATTGAAGTTAGGCATTACAGGTGTTTTCCCTCCCCCTTCCTTGATGCCTAGATACCTGAAAAAATTCAGAGCAGTTTTCCAAGGTGCCTTTTGTATACTCAAGCATCTTCACGTGGTATTTCTCTACACTCAGAAATCTGGGTACTCAAGTACTGGCAAGAAACTCAGCGATGGTGACCATAATTAGCTAAAGAATAAGCTGACATTGAATAAAGACATTTAGAAATCAAACTGAATGCAAATTTATGAAGCATCGGGTCATTCAGAAATGATGTGTGGTGTATGTTCTGCATGGTTGCTAATTGATATCTAGGTGGGAAGAGCAATGCCCAAATAAATCCTTCCCTTTTCAGACTTCCAAAGAACAAAAGTCATCATTCTAAAGGTGAACACATCTGAAGTCATTATGGGAGGGTAAAGAAAGTGAGGGAAGCCAAATGAAAACAGAGGGTAAAAAAAATATTGATCTGGGGAAGAGAAAGAGAGATACCATACTAACAGGGAGAAGAGTAGGTAGGAAAGTGAGAACACGTCATGTAGAGAAAAAGGGAGCAACGAGAGATGGATGGATGGACAGATAGGGAAATAGGAAAACAAGGGACATATAGATGGCATGCTGGATTAGAGGCAGGTATAGATCTACTACAAACAGGGAGAGAGCCCCTACCCACAAAGGCAAGGAACCATTGGTCTATACAAGTCTATGGAAACAGACAAACCAAACTTTAAAAACAACACTACAGCATACAGCACAGTGAGGAACATCTGTTAGAAGAATTTAGAAAATACTTTATTATTATTATTATTATTATTTACTCTCTGCAAAAGACACACACAAGATAGCAAGCAGTGATATAACTATTAACGTATCATGCCTCATGATCTGGGAGCCTGGTTTTCTCTGATTTAAAAAAATCCCTAATTTTCAGATTAAAACAAGTAACCCCAAATCCACATTTTTCCATGATTAAAATGAAACACCACTGTCTGTATATTAGTGGTGTTTCATTTTAATCATGGAAAAATGTGGATTTGGGGTTACTTGTTTTAGTCCAAAAAATTAGGATTTTTTTTTTTTTTTAAATCAGAGAAAGCCAGGATCCCTGCTCATGATTATGCCCCAGCTTGGTACATAGAAGAAAGACTTGGAAATTTTCTGGAGGGAAAAAAACAAACAAACAAGCAGATTTTCACAAATCACAGCACTGGTTTACCAAAACCCACCCATTTAACAGAACTGCATGCAGTACTGTTGACAAAAAGTAATTAAATTGTAGTAATAATAAAAGAGGGAAACATGAGAGGCCCTTACCTGAGACTTCTGAATAAGTGCAGTGGTTTTTAACCTTTGGTCATTTGCAGATCCCTAAAAAGTTTGGAATGGAGGTGTGGGTTCCTTTGAATTACAAGTGTGGGTATTCACATACTTTTGATCGATCATAGTCATCTTTTGCAGAGCCCTTACACATAGACCCACAGGAGTCTGCAGACCATAGGTTGAAAACCACTGATCCAGTGGTTAGCCTGATCACTAGATGGTCTGTGGGAGACAAATAAGTCTCTATTTTAGACTGAAACCAAGAAGTGAACCTCTTATTTCTCCTTTGTTAGGAACTTCTATATTCTGTACTGGGACAAAAACAGGTTTCTGCAACCTCAAAAACATCTGAGGAATGGGGAAAATTATTTCCCTCCCCATTCTAATTAAAGGTTCCAAATTTTACCAACTAATTAGAGCCAGAGGGACCTCCAGGAACTTTACAGCCTCCTTTTTATTCATGAAAGTGGTGACATTCCAAGTCAGACAGTCCTAAACACAGCAATTCTACATAAGATTAGTGACATGTGAACTGCTGCAAATTTCTACCCCTACTTGAAAGGGTCAGCAATATGCTTTTTCTCTTGTACTATAGGTTAGGGTTGTGCTAATGCAATTTCAATCTATCATTATTCCAGTACACATGGAAAACCCTTTACAGTAATGAAACCAGTCTTATAATATCAATAGCTTCTACACAAATGTGTGCACAAGCTAAACTACTATAAATATTCTGACATAAAAGAATGAGGTTGAATGATGAAGAGGAAGACAGGCTTATTTTGACATCAGGAAGACAAACCAAAGTAAAAGACAATTTTCTTCAGGAAATTATTATGAAGCTTAGTTCTGGAGCCTAATTGGAAACTTGTATGTCAAATCTCATTTAGAGATACTGTTATTGCTTCAAAATTATAGGAAACATTCCCATCCCTCTAGAAGCCTGAAAAGTACTTGATTATCCTTTTCTCTTCTCTTTTTGACTCCTCCCTCCTCCCCCAAGCAGTGTTTCATCACTAAATATGAAGTTTTAGTTACAGTGGGGAATCATGAAATGTCCTTTTCATTTTGGGTGCAAAGAAGCTAAACTAACCAATAAAATGCAAGTCACAATTCTTTGACTGTCTAAGACAGCATGAAATATAGGGCATTACTATCTCATGGGTTTTGCCCTGCCATCTCTAACATAACAAGTAATGTGTAAGGTTAAATAGAAACAGATGTGAAACATGGTTTCAAACTGTTTAAATGAGGTTTAATTTATACATTAACAATTTTTTGGAGATAGGTCTCTAACCATGGTTAGCATGGTATGGTTTGGGATAAACCTCCTCAAAGGCTGGGGAGAGTAGTATAATTAACACCTTTTAAGATACTTTAAGGCAACTTTAGTTTAAATAGGTAACTTTATGGAACCAAGTAGCTGAAACACTAGCAGCCCCTATCATGCACACAGGCACGCATTACTATCAATAAAAAGGTACGTACAAAACATGAGGATGGAGAGTTTTTAGTAGTTTCTGTGAAGGTTTGTGCATCTGTATTTAAAAAAAAAAAGTTTAGAAAAATTAGCCATTATAGATGCACAAGCATCTACAGATGCACTGAAGGCATATCTCTGAGAAAAGTTAAGGCTCTGGGCTGAATCTTGGCTGAAAGTTGTTTGGAACTGAGCAGAGACACTGTTATCATGTGGTTCCTGCTTATTATGCAAGGATACATTATGGATTCTTTATAAAAAGAGAGAGACGTTAAACACAGGAACTGTAGATGTTTCAAAAATGATTTAAACAGCAGAAAGGACTGAGAAAGGACTTACTCTTTATAACTGCAGTTGCTGCTCCAACTTTCCCACCCTCATATGGCAAGACAGATTGATGAGACTACCAACAATGTATGCACCCTGGATTAATGACTTCCCGTGAAATAAGGAAACCTAGAAAAAGTTTGACCAACTTTGATCAGGCTAATTAAGGCGAGCTATAACAAGGACTTTGAGAGCTAAGAAATCATTCTGAGAAGGATATCCAAGGATTAGAGGCCAAAAAGTCAATTGACTAGATGTGATATTGGACCCCCAGAAGACGCTGGTAAAAAGACATTTATAAGGGTTTCCATCATCCCAACTCAAATAATGCAAAAACCTCATCTTTAATGGAAATTTTCACTGAAAGGCTTATTTGGCTCAGTTAAACATACTGGCCCAAATGAAAGCCTAGGAAGGCAGACTAAAGGGGAGGGGGCAGGTCCTAGCAGCTGTTTTGAGAAGTCAAAAGCTATGAATCATTTGATCTAACAAACATTTTGCTTGTTTCATGTTTATTTATGGTCAGGCCAATCCCTACAAAAAATAAGCGTTTGAGAGTTAAATTCAGCAGCTTGTTTTGACTTGCCAAGTGTTGTACACTTATATTAACTCCTACCTCACATGAAAGAGATTTTGCACTTGTTGAGGACAGTATTAACAACACCAGCTCAATATGTGCGAGCAGTCAAAAACACAAATGATATTTTAGGGATTAAGAAGAGAAATGTAAACAAATTAACAATATGCCCTTTATAGACCTATAGTGCATTCAGACCTTGAATTCTGCATGGAGTTTTGTTTCCCTTTTCAAAAAGGGCATAGAAAAGGGTAGAGGAGAGAGAGAGAAGGACAAGAACCTAAAGGATTGAGGAAAAAAATGCTTTCAGAGCAGAACAAGATCTGTTCAGGAACGTGTGTCCGGTCACTCCCAGTCCTATGGAGTATAGTCTCTTGCATTCACAGGTAACATTTGGTTCAATGAGGTATGTAAAAGCATCCACTTTTGCCCCTATTGAGATTTCATAAAACACTCAAGCACTATTATACAAAGAGAAAACAAAACAACTCCATGCCACAAGAAAAGAACAAGAGACAAAGATACCACAAATACATTAGCAGCTGCAGCAGTAGCTGATTTGTTCAGTATAATACGCTCAAGGGATCACAGAGAAAGGGTAAACACCCAAGCCCAAATCTATCAATTTACTTTGACTACAAGCACATAAAGCAAGACCCATGAAGACAGGCTTCTTAGTGTTTTCAAGGAAGCCCTATGCATATCCTAGCCACTCTTCCACCATGCCTAATGGCCACAGTATCAGAGGAAGGGAAAAAGAAACACAGAAGCCTGAATTTGCTATTAGGGAAAAAGAAGTATTTTTAGCCCTTGCAGGTCTGATGTATGTGATTACCAGACTCTTCCCAGTTATACAAAGAATTTACAAGGAGATGAGCTGTGAACCAGGTTTGGCTGGCTCATGGGGATATCAAATACTTGAATAATCCTCCGCTCTGTATATAGATAAGGGTATAAACAGTCTTGTAGAGTGAGAGGTTAACCAAATATCTGGGCCTTGGGGAAAACCAGATCAGTAATCAAGGTCAAAGGGAACAAAACTCAGTAGTCAGACTCACATTACTAATCCAAAATGGTATATATGCTTATCTGTATTAATATTTCAGGTCAGGAGTGGAGAGGCCCAGATGATGTGTATAACCAAACAAGCAGAAGTGAGGTAGGGAGTCCAGGTCTGGTGCAAGACAGAGGCAAGGCTGAGCTGGTACAGATGCATTCAAACCACTGAGTGACCAAAGCCCAAGTGAAGGACTAGCTCTGCAGCCAGTCAGCCCAGCGCTTGCAGCTGGTGCTGCTCTAGAACCAGGTGATCCTGCTGAGAGCAGATTGTCCTCTAATACTCCGAGTATTTCTCCAAGATTTCTCAGTTGTATGTTATCCCTGCTATACACTTAATAAAATCCACCTTGAAATATTCCAAGTGCCTTGCCTCTTCACTAATTCAATTGAAAGGTCTTTCCAGAGTGTCACTTCCCTGGAAATTAGAAAAACTTTTCCAACCATGAATCTACATTTTTTCAGGACCAACTCATAGCCATTTGTTCTGGCACCACTATTATCTTTTTTCTTAAGAGGCCCTTCTTCTTCTTCTCTGATTTTTATTTCTCAAATGTATTTATAAATACATTCTTTCTCAATCTTTATTTTCTTAGCCAAGATCTTATTATCTCTCCTCTTAAGATGAGTTCTCCAGTCCCCTGTTCATCTTAGTACACTTTTTTGTACCCATTCCAGTTAAAGTGAATCTTTTTCAACAAAGGTGACTAGAATGGAATACAACATTCTCAATGGGGTCTCCCAAATTTTTCCTGTCTCTCTTCTGATGATATTTTACCTAGTATGCTATACAAACAAAATACCATTTTCATATCTGTATTTCATTGGTCACTCAATCATTGTACAATTGATCAATATAAGCAAATCCATCTCTCTTTCTAGTTGATGACCCCCCTGCTTATTGCCATAGTTCTTGATATCATTTCCTCAGTAGATTACTTTGTAGTTTGTACTGTTACACTTCATACTATTTCCATTACTCCACTCTGTAGAGTTATCTAATTTCTCTGAAGGATAATCCAATCCTCTTCTACATTGGCAACATTTCCTAACTTTGTATCACCTGCAAATTTCCTGTGTTTACATATTGTTCTGATAACAAGGCTGCCAGTAAAGGTATTAACCAGAATGTTTTCCCCAAAAAAACAATTATTAAGAAATACCATAGGTAATTTCTCTCCAATACAATAACGTCCCTGTCAGTATAAGCCATCATGGTCTTTGGGTGCAGACCTGACAATTTTCACACATTCTGGCCACAAAAAGAGGTTTATAGCTGTGACCAAACACAAGTACATAGCTTCAGACAGTTTTAAAAATGGCTGATTGGATGAAAATCTGAGCCCTCATTACATGAGGAGTCAGATGAAGATCTTTCAAAACAGAGTGTCTTCTGTAACTTTTGTCTGCACTGGCTGCCATCCTATTACTGTTTTCAGAATTGGACAAGGGAAAGGGAGTGGAGGGCAGTCTAGGGGCTTTCAGTCCTTTCTGGAGGGTGGGTCAGGTGTATTGAGGTGTGGGGGGCTCCAATTTACCTACCCCATCCTCCAGCGCTGGCTGGGGAACCCCTAGAAAAAGCTCTTTTTGCTCCCTTTCCCCCCTCCCATTCTGAAACAGGGACAGGCAGGGAGAGAGGAGGGGCCATTGCTAGGGTAAACCAGCTGAAGGCTGGCAGCCAGCAAGTAGATTCCCCTCTCTCTTAGAACCAACAGCAAATTTCTGTTTGGTCTGGGGGGATCATTGTAACTCAGAATGCTTCCTGCAAACTGCCCTCAGTTACAGTGGGAAGTTGCACTTTTCTCTGCACCTTTTATTATAGCCTACAAATATAGTATTAATTCCAGAGCTGGTTTAATTTAAGAATTTCCCATGAAGCATAATATAAAATGTTCTGCTTAAATCTAAATGTTACATGTATCATATTGCCCTTGACTAAAAAGTCAGTTATCCTCTCACAGGACAATATTAGTTTAATCGGATGCCTGATATAATCTTCCTTGGATAAAGCCATGTTGCATTTTATCTCTCTTTCTGCTTACCCCCATACCTTCGATTATTTTCTTTCAGTACCGTTCTAAAATCTTGCAGAGTATTGAAATCAGGTTAATGGATCTGTATCTGCCTGTCTCATCTCTTCTCTTCCCACTTCCACATTTTAAACATAAACACCATGTTATTCTTCAAACATAGAATCATCCCTCTAAATCGACAGATTCATTTAAGATTCATGTTACAGGAATTTGTATTTCAGGAATCTGCTCTTTCACCATTCTGGGATGGAGATTATCCAAGCCCCAAAATGTCATCACTGTAGTAGGAGTTTTGCTTCAGTATCAAATATAGAAGTAAATGCCATGACTATATATTTGTTCCCATGAGGTACCCTACCATTATCCTCATATCTTTGTTCTTATTAAAAACAGATAAACATGTAATTTAGTCTTTGGTTTACACCTATGTGATTCTTCATCTCCATCCCATCTCCAGTATATTGCAGCCCTGTTTCTTTCTACTTAATTTCCAAACAAATATTTCTAATTTATGTAAACCTTTTTTTTTTCTTTTAAAATGATAGCTTTGGTTCATGCAATAAATGTGCTACATATGAGAGCCTTACAGAGAGGTCATTGTATGACACATTCATTCTGCTTACTCTACCTGAATTATGATAAAACTCTATAAAACAATCCAATACATTTACACATGGTTTGTGATGAATCCAAAGAGTACATGTTGTTTCAGAGGTCATCACAATTTTGCACAGGATTTGAGCTGAAAAAAGTAAGTACACATAGAATGCCTTCTGTAGAATGGTCAGACTCTCCATACCTGCACAGGTGGGTACAATTGTAGGACGTTAGTATATGTGGTTTTTATTTGTTTCTGCCAAGATTATATGTCATAGATCCCCAAAAGGAGCACTTGCTTGGAATTTCCAGCCTCAATCTTTTGGAGTACCCCTAATGTCAGACCAGGCATAGGTCCTAGAATAGGTAAGATCCTGGACTCAAAAACCCAAGCTTTGGTCCCTGATCCCCCTGGTTACCTATGATCCTTCAGACAGGTGAATTCTGGTTTAGCTCCTGGAGAGAGACTTTGCTTATTCTAAAAGACGGTGTGCACCCAAACTCACATGCAGTGAAACAGGCAGCTCTTTTTAAACAGAAACATCATTATCATTCAATAATGATATAGCAAATAGAGTCCTTTGGCCACAATACTTATGCCAACTCCCAGGCAGAGTCTTGGTCTGCTAAACAACCCTGTCTGTTCCCTTTCAAGACTTTTAGGGAGCTGTTACCTTTAAATCATTCTAAATCTGTGAAATATTAGGTGGTGTTTCAGAGCAATCACAGGTTAAGGTTTAATGCTTTCTCTAACCTGCACAACTGTGATTTGTCACTATGGGACCTGGTGATCTGGCCCATGACCAGGATCAAATACCCTCTCCTTTCTCTGGGAGCAGAGCCCCAAGGGTCAAGCATGTCAAGAGCATAGTACCCAGAGAAGCATGACATCCCAGACTCCATGCTATCACCACTCTCACCACTAGACAGCCCTCTCCACACTCCCTGCCAGGAAGCTGGGAAGTTGGGGAGAGAAAGCATGCCACCTGGCCTACATTTTCCTGACTAGGGGAGAGCTATGCATATATGGGCAAATAATTAGGTTCCTAGCCCAGATCAGGTCTCCTGGGTCTTTGGAGTTGGCAGGTTGGTGTCATCCAAGCTGGAGTTGTACCCACTGGGGGCATGTGGCAATGGTGATAGTGGCAGTTTGGGGCCAGTACTAACCCCTGGGCAGTAGAGCTTGGAAGGGTTTGTCAGGGTAAGAGTGCTGGCAGCTGTAAACTCAGGGATGCTGGATGACTAAAAATTGATTGAATTATCTGTTTGGAAATAGACTAACAATATCTTAGCTCAAGTTAGGTAGAACTGCTCAAAAGATAAACCCCGGTTGAAAGTGACATAATTTTAAGATTCTTAGAGGGTACTTGTAACAGTTTAACATTTTAAGTGCCTTTGAATGCCTTTTAATGGGCCTTTGAATTACGCAAAGAACCTTGCCTGTCTTTGAATGGTGTTACCCTAAGTCTGCTCTTGCCCTGCTGAAATCCTTTATTTCAAGCTTGTTCTTTGCACTGGCTTTCATTGAAATTCTTTCTAGCAGCAGATGCAGCAGGGAGCTTCTCCAGATGCTGGGGCTTGAATCTAGTCAGGATATGTGTATGTTAACATATGCAAACTGTTTTATTGCTGCCTGATGGCCCATTCACACCTAGCAGAGCACTTAAGCAGATCCTCACAGGTTTGCTTCAAAACACCATTAATCCATTTTTTTTCCTTAGTGTAGAAGCTGGTCAGGGAAACTGAGGCAGTAATGTAAATATATTTAACCTTGAAATAGTACAAACTGAACCACTACCTGTCACATACCAGCCCTGTATGAGTTGGACAAGAAGCCATTTCAGGGGTCACCAAACAGTTTACATTTTTTAATCTAAAAAAAAAATTAAAAAAAAAAGGGTCTTATAATGGCTTTTAATTCTAGCCTACACATTTTAAACCTTTTTGGGTAGGACACAGGTGATGGCACTTTTGGATTGGAAACATTAATTACACAAGGAGATGAAGTAATTAAAAGCATGGTGCCTTTTTGCAACAGAAGTCTAAGTTTTCTATCAAGAAGTTATTCCACTACCCCAAAGGAACTGCTAGCAATAATTAAATGTAGAAGATCTTTTCACCCCTGATTCCATGAGAAGAAGTTTGAGGTTAGGACAGACCACACATCCCTGCAAGAGCTCTTCAGACTCAAGAATCCTAAGGCACAACTTGCCAGATGGTTGGAAATATTGTAGTGCTATATTTTCACTGTAAGTCAAATGTCTGGGCAAAAGCATAGTAATAGTAATACTAATATTTTACTTAGCCCTTCAGGAAGGCCATCTGGACAATTACAAACACTGCCCAAAGCAGGAAGGGAAAGAATTGATTGCTCCAGGGAATAAGTTTCCTCCTCAAGAATAGTTTCTGCTCCCTTCCCACAATTTGAATAAGGGCAAATGTTTCCAGTTCATCTACTGGCACAGTACATATGGAGCTGCAGGAATGGACTCCAGAGCAATGAAGCCTTCCCAAATGATCCTTACCTCAGAAAAGAATAAAACCTGGATAGCTGATATGATCAGATCCCTAACTTCCCTGTGAAGTTGAGGGTTGAGAAGGAGGGATCTGGACAGAGATATAGGGATCAACAGCAAACAGCTGTGCAGAACTACTCCAGTGCATAAGCTGTTTGCTGCAGCTTGTATTTCAAAGGGAGCTACTACCCTAGTCACTTGTGTGAGACACTAGCACTCTTTGAAATAAAACCCATAGGAAGCAGCTGAGTAACTTTGTTCTTAATTCAGCAAGCCTGTTGTGAACTATGGGACTTATGAACCATCCAGTTATGAAAAATCCGAGTGTTACAGTACTGTGTGACTAGAAAGCCAGTTTGGCAATGCCGTTAACCCTGAATATCATACTCATTGAGAACAGTACAATACAAGTTTCCTGATAGCAGAAACCTTGGGACTTATTAGTATGGAAGGTGGCGAAACAGAAGGTGATTATCAGCTGGTTGTACAAATTTTAAAACGGAGGGGCAGGAAGGTATTGAATAACAGATTCTAGAAAATTTGGGTTACAAGGGACCTCAGGAGATCATCTAGTTCAACCACCTGCTTAAAGCAGCACCATCTTCAACTAGATCATCCCAGCCAAGGCTTTGTCTACCATGGTCTTAAAAACCTCTAAGCATGGAGATTCTAAAGCCTCTCCAGGTAGCTTGTTGCAGTGCTTTCCTACCCACCTATTCAGAGAGATTTTTCCTAATATTTAACCTAAACTTATTTTTCTGCAACTTGAAACCATTGCTCCTTGTTCTGTTATCTGCCACTACTGAGAACAGTTTAGCTCTATCCACTCTGTAACACCATTCAAATAGGGAAGGATGCTATTAGCTGAAAGCTGAGGTTATGTCAAGATTTTAAAATGGACATTTTGGGATGGTAAAAAAAACAAAAACAAACCAAGGTAAAAGTAATGTTCTATTAAGTATAGTGCAGGTAGGATCTAAGATATTAGTTCACGAAATTAGATGCTTGTTTTACAAAAAGAGGGAGTTTGCAGGTACATCAGTATAAAATGTTGCCATCATGTGCTTGGGTTTTGTAGCAGGAATGAATATTTTCTGGTAGCTATGGACTATTTCACAAAATAGCCTGAAACTTACCTAAAAAGGGAACAAAAAGCTGTGACAGTATCATAATTTCAGCTGAATGAGAGCTTCACCATCTTTGGGGTGTATGCAAGAATTATACAATTTTAAGGGACATACTTTAGTGTTCAAGTATTTCATCTGGTTTGTGAGATTCTAGAGATATTCAACATATGTACCACCTCACCAAACCTACTCTCTGATGGGATAGTGAAAAGTTGATCTCTAAGGCCACGTCCAAACAAGCATGGACATGCAGTATATGGTGCTGCAGAAAAGTCTGTGGTGCCATATACCATCCACTCTCAACTGGACAGGTATGTGGCACTATATACCACACATGCAGGCATTCCCTGCACTGCTACTTTGCAGTGCAGGGTGGGAGGGAGGTTGAGCCCGGGAAATCCAGGGGTCAAAAAAACCCATGCCAAAAAAAAGCAGGGCAGCACATGCAGTGGCAGCACACGCTGCCCAAAACTGGAGCCTGCCTGGCTGGAGCCACAGTCTGCCTGCCAGCCAGGCTTCCTGCCAGAGCTACAGCCCTGGGAAGCCCCTAGGATCCCCGGTAAGTCTCCTGGAGCCAGCACAGTTGCTGGCCCCAGCCTGCCCTACTACAGCCAGGGTAAACTGCTGTGCACCAGAGCATGCTTGGCACTGGTGTTTCTCAAGACAAGTAGCAGTAGCACAAGGTGTGCCGCTGCCACTTGTCCCTGGGGAAACAAACATGCTTGTCTGGATGCACCCTAAAGATTCAAGTAGCTACCTTTATGGAACAGCACCC